ACGAGAAGATGTGCTTGGAGGCCTGGGTGCTGGTCATGAAACAGCTGGGTTAACAAAGGTACTAAGCAAAATACTTAAAGGGTTCTCCCACTGAATAAATACTCCTGTTCTTCACTCTTGGTAAGCACCTAAAGTGCTAGGATTGCTGGAGCCAGTGGTCTTTGTGTTTCCCAACCCTGGGTGCATTTTTTCCCTCTGAATTCATCCCACATATGTTTTTAACAGACATGGTCTTCAGAGACAAGGTGTTGAACACCTGAAAGCTGCTTTGGTGTGAAGAGCCACCTCCTTGGTTCATTTTAAACCTGATTTAGTTTCATTTAATGGAAGCACAGCCCATTCCCCACGAAGAACATTGTCAGGGAGCATTCACAGGGAAGGGCAGTGCCAGTGATGACGCACCAAGCCCATGGGCAAGGAAATCGGGAGCCACTGAGGGGGTTCCACAGGTTCATTATGTTTCTTCAGCTCCACTAGATTTTCCTCAAATAGAATTTATTAATATGACTTGTGACTGTTGGATGGAGTAAGAGATCTGGAGAACTGCTCTCCAAACACCACAATTGCCTGGACCGAAACACTTCAAACAATATTTAACCAGCCCCTGCCTGTCCATCAGGGCCATCACTGTCCCACTTTGATCTCCTCATTATTCAGCGTTCAGATGCTTCCAGTCAGGCAAGTCTCATATCAGTCAGGTAGGTTAAAGGAAAACTGTGCCTCAAGTAGCTGTAAAAGATCAACTGCTTTTCTCCAGGAAAGCTGGAGTTTCTAGCTTCAAAATGATCTGTAGTTAACAAGTATGTGACTTTATACATCTGTACATGACTGACAGCAAGAGCAACCCATTTCCTATGTCTTGAATTCCTCATGACTGAACTACTGCATACCAAAAGATTGCAGAAATAACTGACTTTACATTAAATATCATCTAGAAAGGTCTGATGGAGCAGCAGATGCCTTGCCTGTACAGTACAGGAGCAAAGAAGCTGATATCAAACTTCTGCAGCAAATTACTTCTACCAAGGTAAGACCTTCTGTCAGCTCAGAAAGCAGATGCATGATATTGCCAAAGGTTTTCTGTGTAAGTCAGCAGAGGGGCTGGTACCATCTGTGATGTTTTCAGCTTGGTTTTGGTGGGGAGAAGAAGAACAAGGACCTTAGTCCAGCAGAGTTCTGACCTTAAAACTTCAGACTGGCACAAATCCTCTTCCTCTTCTTCAAAGAAATGCAAGCAACTTATCATTCCCCTCAAGGCTTTTATGTCTGGAGGTGGCCATGCCTTCTCTAATGAGAGAAAAGAAACAACCAAACAAGTAAGTCAGGCTGTGTTTGCTAAAGTGTTCAATTACTACTCTGTGTGAAGGAGAACAGGACCTGAAGAGGAATTACAAATTGACAGTGAGTCATGTTATGCCTTCTTGTCTTTCTTCCAGAAGAGGAAGAAGGGCAAGTTTCCCCTTTAGATTCTTTAGTTCACTGGGGAAAAGGGAAACCATGTTTAACTTTTAGCAGCTTTTGTTCTTGTGTGTTCTCCTGGACCTAAGGGCACAGATAGAGCTGCGCTGATGGGGAGGCTGGTAGATCTGACAAGCCAGACCAAACCATCAGTGTGAGCCCAGAGAATTTTCTTTCATTTCTGTCATCATGCTTGTGATTTCTGCTGAATAAAAATAAGAAAAAAAGATTCAGGGACACTAGAGGCAGTTTGCCAGAAATGGAAAACTGTTTTTTGCCAAGAGGATTTCCTGAGCAATCTAAGTGGTTGAGGATCTTGTCTCAAAGAAAGTTTGGATCAGTGGGGTATGTGCTCAAGCACAAACTGGGCTGAGGGATTTTATTTTCTTTTATGCATGCTTCCTCTTAAACCTGGTCTTGCAGCTAACTATTGAGGACTGCTGCCCCTGGACACCAGCTCAGGCTCTGATAGCTTTTGTAAGAGCATTTGTATCAAAATATTGTTGTGCTGGAGTCTCCAAGGCCATCTGGGGCTTTGTGCAGACAGGGTGCTTACAAATGAATGTGAACCAAAGCAAATCAACATTGCCTGGCAGGGATGAAATGTATTGCTAGGGTCTGTCTCTGCCAAGCTAGACTGTTTGGCTCCAGTCCCACTCTTTGGGGAGATTGTCTGTCAAAACACAATTTGGTATTGTATGGCGTCATGGTTACATGGCTTACTACTCCTTTAACCCCTCTCAGTCCTTATGCTCTTGTTATTTGTTGAGTGGAAACGTGTGAATCTCCACCTCTTAAAACAGACCTCAGGCTCTGGTACCTTGCACCAATTGTCCTTTGTGCCACTGTGTAGTTTCAGGTAGAGCTTTGTACTATCACATGATGGAAACCTGGTTTCTTGGCATAACCGCCTCAAAAACCTGGCCATCCTTTCAAGGTGGGAGTCCAGCTTGGATACTTGATTGACTCTTCTTAATTAACCCATTCCTTCATGAGCAGCAGCTGCTGCTTCTGACAAGCCAAGACATCAGTGTGAATGTCCTCATGGGTTTGCTCTCCCCACTTCTGGACATGTTTCTGAGTTCATTCAACTCTATGGACATAGTAAATTACCACAGTGGCTTGGCCAAGACACGGCACTACAGACAGCTCTAAGCCCATTACATACAGTTTTTGCTATAGTGGAAATCCTCAGTAAGCACTGGTAGAAGTGCTGTCTCTGAGCACAGATTCTGAGGGGCCACCTCCCGTCCTGGAGGCCCGGTGAGGGGCAGCAAGAGGAGGATGTGCATATTCCCTTCAGAATGGGGGTGAAGAGACAGATCCTCAGCTGACACCCTGGCAAGTCTGGAGATGGCTGAGAGGAGTAGTGGGTCTCCATAGGTGTGACACATGGCACGTGCTGTCCCACAGGCGGGCAGCTGCCTGCACCACTGCCCAGTCTGTCACCACCAGCCTAGCACACAACTGCAGCCTCATCCCCAGTGGGCAGGGCGGCGGCAGCCTTGCACAGGCTGGGACGCCAGTGAAACACAGCCCAGCTGCCTAAGTCACGCAGCCTTGTGGCTTTCCCCTTGTGCTGCAGGATCTGGGTGTTTTCCTTCAAAGGTCAGTCTAGAGCACGTTGGTACTGTCCAGGTCTCCTGTGTGATGCCTGCTCCAGAGGCTAGGCTGGGAGTCTGGGACCTGTTATCATCCCAGCAGACTGAGGACTGCAGTCCATCTGTCCTTTTGGGCTGTACGGATGGCTCCAGGGCTCAGCTGTTCTCTGACCCGAGGTGCAGCACAGCTGAGTTGGTTTTGCTGAGAAAACTGCTGCTGCACTGTGAAAAAATACATGAACTAAAGCCAGGTAAGATAAGTCAAAACATAGACCGAATTAAAGTTGTCAAGACAATGATACCAAGGCTCCAAAAGTAAATGCTATGTGCAAAGGGATAAACCCCTGAAGTGTTGGTTCTGTCACTGTTTTGCTCTAAAGATCCCTGGGCTAGAGCGTAGAAATGCTTGGCTCAGGTGTGACTGATGTAAGGGTACATCCCAAGTGCTGGGTTCTGAGATGCAGGATAGAAAAAGGGGCACATAAAAAAAAAAAAAAAAAAAAAAAAAGAAGGAAAAGAGTGGCTGGGCAAGTCATAGACAGGGAGATGTCCACCAGGAGTGCTTTTAGTTCACTGGCAGGGAGGCATGAGGAATTCAACTGAGAAGGTGAACACAAGCACAGCCAGCTGAAGAGCCTGAACATCCTTGCTCCACTGCAGGCTCCCCCTCTGTCCTCTTCCACTGCCTTGAAGAACTCCCTCCTACAGAAAATCCCAGCACCCCTTCCCTTGCAGGGCATGTTTTTGCTTGAGCTGGAAGTTCTGTGGGGGAAGGTCAGGGACAGCACCTCTCCAGCCATGTCCCAGGAGCAGTGACCCGCAGGCAGCTGCTTTGGCTCACGGGCACTAGCAGCCAGTACAAAGCTATGCAAAAGGCAAGCCAGGACATGAGGGGGTTTTGCACAGGAGTAAATAAGTGTTTGGGTCAAGGAAAGCTGAAAGCCATCTTGCTGAGCTTGCATCAGCCCAGTGTTTGGTAAGAGGTGACTAGACACACTGGACGTGCAACTGGGAGCTTCGTAAGGAGCAAGCATTCACATCAGGGTGGCGGTCAGCTATTGCAACCTTCCCCAGGTGTGAGGGGCTGTTCCCACGGTGACTGAGACAACGCTATGAATTTCTTTTGTTTACTTGAACTTCGTTTGTTTTTCCTAAAGTGAGTTAATATGTAATTATAGCATACAACAGGTGCTGGCATTGCATTAGAGGTATAGTTAGGCTCCTGTGACTGGCAGGAGAAGAAGCTGGCGGTGACTTGTTACTAAACTGTGAACAATTTTTCATTTTTAATATGAGATTTGGCAGCAGCCAGATCTTAATATCCTAATAATATCAACAGCCAGAAAATAAATGTATAATTTGTTCTGTCTAATGCTGAAAGTTAGATTTTTCTACTTAGTGCATCAGGAGCTGGATCAGTCCCATAGCAGCACAGAACAAGTGGAGAGGACAGGGTCCTTTGCAGGGACTCAGGTCCATGTAGAGGTGAGTTTGCTCAGACAGTGCTCTGCCGGTACAGCTGTGCCATCGAAATGCCAGATCTCAACTCACATCCTCCACCTCCTGAACCAGGGAGATGCTTTGCCTTAATCTCAGTCTGAGTTTCTATCACAAGCCGCTGCCAGACAGCTAAGAAGAAAGCGCACGTTCATGTGGCCAGAGATGTAGTGCTCTCTTTTAAAGAAAGCAGCCCCTCTCTGCCAGCCCTCTGGAAGCCTCAGCCCTGTCCGGGAGCTGAGCTGGCTGGTGAGAAGGCTCCGCAATCTGCGAGCCAGCGGCTGCGGGAGCATGGCTGGGGGCCGCGCTCCCTCCTAGCCCAGGGCCAGCAGCCAGTGCTCCCCCCCTCACGCTCCCTCGGGTGGGTCTGCAGAACGTTCTGACAGGCTCCATTTACTTTTGTGCTGTTTTCCCCATCGCCACGAAGCAGTTTTTCTGTAGCTGGGAAAGACCGAGCTCTTCCCTCTGCTCGAAGTTAATCATCTGCTTGTAATTAACCTGTGACCTCCCACGCCTGCGGCGTGCGCGGGGCAGTGCTGCAGCTTTAACGCGAGCGGTGGAAGCAGGAGGGAGGACAGCAGTGCCAGGTCCGCCCCGAAGCTGCTGCAGATCCCTCAGTGCTGCCCAGCCCTGGCCCTGGCAGCGCTGCCCGCCATGGGGAGCCCCAGCCTCCTGGCCGCCCTCCTCGCCGCCGCCATCGCCTCCCTCCTGCCGCTCCCCGCTGCCCCCTCGGCCCACCGCAAGCTCCTCGTGTTCCTGCTCGATGGCTTTCGCTTCGATTACATCGACGACAGCGAGCTGGAGGGTCTGCCGGGCTTTCGGGACATTGTGAACATGGGGGTGAAGGTGGATTACATGACCCCAGACTTCCCTAGCCTCTCCTACCCAAATTACTACACGCTGATGACGGGTGAGTACTTGCATTTCTGTGCAGTGATGCTCCTTGGAGCTGACAGCTCCCCGTGATGAAGTGGAGGGCAGCTTCCCATTACATTTTCCTCCAAAGACAATGTAAAAATAACACAGGTCGTGCTTTTAGCTGGGAGTTTAAAAGCACTACAGTATTACAGCTCAGTATTGGCTGTCTAAAACCTGCACTGAACTTGAACTTGGAAACGCTGCTTGGAGCTGATTTTTGAAGTCCCCCTTTGCTATCCCATGGTGCTGCCAGGTCCCTACCTGCTGCCACTGCAGCAGCACGGCCATCCAGGGCTCCCTGGTGGGAACACTGATGGGGGCTCTTGCATATAGAGCATAAAAACGAGTGGTAAATGAACGGAAAATTAATACAGAGCCTGCTCAGAGCCTTTCCAGTTAATAAAAAAGCATGTAAACTGAGGGCGGCTAAGAGAAGAACTTTTTTTCAGTCACCGGGTCTGTTTTGGCAAGTTCACTGTTAAATTTATTTTTAAACTTGACAGACTTTCTGCTTTCACAGGTCTCTGGCTTAACTAGTCCTAAATCCCAAATTCTCATATCTGTAATAATCTGAAATAGCCAAACAGAACAATATTAAGGATTTTTGCTTTTACTCCCCTACAGTTTTTCTGAATACCCAGGAGAGGCTTTCAGAAAACTGAGATGATATAGTCATAGTTTTCATGATACTCAATTGCTTTTAATCTAAGTGGAGTGACACGTGACTACATTGACATTGGGAAGGTGCACAGAGTACAGCTGGGCCATTTCTATCTGAGAGAGACATCCTGGAAACAATGCTTAAGTAAAAAAAAAAAACAACCAAAACCCAAAAAAACAAACATAAAAGTTTTTCTGGAGTTTCTGATTGGATTTTTCTCCAGAATTATTTAACAAACAAGACCTTCCACCTAAAGGGAAGGAGTAAGAGAATCTGTACTCTCCTATGATATGTGGCATCTTCTACTGTCCCTGGAACAATACAGTGCCCAGTGGTCCATATACCGCTTGCTGGGAAAGCAAATAGATGCCATTGTAAGACAAAAATCTGACATCAGTTGTGCCCAGCTTGTTTTGAAACCACTTAACCCCTTCCTCCCTCTCTCACAAGAGAAATGCCTTGCTCATCTCTGAACAGCGAAGAGTACAAAACTGCCACAGTTTCCTTTCATGACTTGGTGCAAATGTATGAATGCAGAGCAAATGTCATGACTGAAAATAGAGGAGTCATTCTGCCCCAGACTATGTTCTTTAGGTGTATGTAGGCAAAGCAACTTAACACTTCATGTGTGCAAAAAGCCTTTGGATGGAGTTATTAAAGAGAAGAGGGAAAGCGACTGCTTTCACTCCTTACCACATTTAATCATCACTCCTATTAAGTGCATATGCATAGAGTGAAGTCTATAATCAGCCTTTCAAGGAGTTTTGAAAACATCTTATTTTGTTCTTGAAAAGAAGGAGTGTTGTTTTAGATGATGAAATGCCACTACTAGATTATTCTCATTTTTAGGGTATCAGATTTTCTACACCCCAGCCTGAGGCAGTGAGACAATCTATGAGACCAAACTCAACTCTTCTTGCAAGTCTCCTGGCCTTCATGATGAGCATCTCAATGCAAATACAACTTAACTGCAAATAACAATTTACCTTCATAACACATGAGTCACAGCAGTGTTAAACAGGTCAGGAAACAACTGGGGACCAAGTTTAGGTGATGAACATGCCCAAAGGAAGATCCAAGACTGCACTTGAGCCCTCAGGGTTTTAGTGTACTCCATGGTTGTGTCCTGACATGACAGCAGGGTATATCCCATGGCTGCACTCTTCTTACTCCCAGTGCCATGGTGCAGTCTCCACGGAAAGGACATGTCACGTTTTAGGTGATGGTAGGGTTAGGAGCATGGGGCATGAGGCAGATGTAGCAGTAGCTGTGTTCAGTCTGTGCACGTTTGATTCAGAAAGCTGGGACAGCTTTTGGAAAAAATGCAGCATGGCAGGGTGACATAAGCATCACATTGTAGCAACCTATGTGGGAACAGGCAAGTTACTGTCTACCCATCGCTGCTCTACAGGTTGGGAAACCTTCCATCGCATCTCACCATTTATGCTATAGGGGGAGGTCTGTAACTGGTTTTGCTTTCATTTGCAACTGGGATGTGTGGGACTTAAATGTTGTCACGGTTTCTTCTGGGAAATCAGGGACTACAAGAACAGGCTGTTCTTGTCTTGTCCTGAACTGCTGCATCATGATCTGTTAAGAAACTCACATTTTAACGACCAAATTGTCATATTTTAGCATGTCGTGAGTGCAGTTTCATAGCATATTGTTTTTTTTCAGCTAAATCATCTTAGAAATTTCTGGCCCCCACCTGCACACTCCCACTCCTGACTTGTTCATTATATCCCACCATTTTTTTAGATAAACACTCCAGTCCCTTCCTTATCTGCTTGTTCAGAAGGTCTTGTGGCCCCACATCCATTCAGAAGCATATGCATCTGCCAGATCCAGGACAGTGTGTGCTTGAAAACATTGTGGTTGGGATGTATTTCTCTCTTGCCCCTATCATTTGTGTGAGCAAGGCGTCTCCTTCCTGCGTACCATCCTTCACCCAGTATCTGCACAAGATTCATGACTCTAGATGAGGGTATTTTGTATGGGGGGTGTTTTCCTTCCTTTCAGTGGCTTTGGAGGAGGACAGTGGACTCTCTTCCTTGGACACCATCACCATTGGGACAGGTCGGTTCCCTCAAATATGAACTTACCTCCTTCTCATGCCCAAAGCTGCAGATGGAGTTTATGGAGGTCAGCAGCATCTGTCCCACTGCATGTCAGTGCAGATGTCAGTCTGCACCTGTCAGCCCTGACAGAAGGTAGATTTCCCCTGCAACGGGCAACGAGCAAGCAGTAGTGCACAGCATAGCTGCCTGATTATCTGCAGGATCTTTTAGTCATTGCATTTTACTTTTCTGATGCTTTCAAGAAGGCAGCCTAACTGGATTTAGTATTCATGAGAAATAGCAAGTTTACTGAGCTTTTCAAGCTATAACCAAATAAATGCAACCATAACTGATGATCAAGAGCCATGGATCTAAAACCAACTAACTACAGTATGCTAATGTGAAGCATACCTTTTGCTGAGACTAGATGCTAGGTGAAGCACAGACACAGTAGGAGGAACAGGGTCCAGTGGAGGTAAACTAAACATAAATTTTGGAAAAGAAGCAGGGGGAGAGAGATGACTTGCCTGTGCTATAGCATGGCAACAGAGCTCTCCACAGCAAAGCCCCTTCCTACTTAAATCTGCTGCTGCTGTTAACCTATAAGAAAATATTTGCTGGAGCTTCATGGAGTGACACAGAAAGCCTCAGCTCAAAGCCCAGGGCCTACCTAGAGGTCTCTTCCCTTCCACCACATCTACAGCAATTATGAGAAAGAAAAGCAGAGCATAGAAACAAGAGAAATGCTAATGGTTTGTCTTCTTCATGTAAAGTTACTGTTTCAGAGCACGGGGGAAAGTTCCCATCTCTCTGTGAGCCAGGGCACCACATCATGACCCTCTGTGTTGGGACATCCCTTCACAGGCACCCAGGCTCCTCACCGCACCCACCATGCGGTCCTAGGTCACACGGTCCTGCTCCAGCTTCCCTTGCTCAGCAGTGCCAGCACCCAAAGTAAAGACACCATGTGTCACAGCTGCCACCCAGCACCCTGCAGGGTCTCCCACCAGGGCCCGGCTGGAGTGGCAGTCACAGCTCAACAGAAAGGCAAAGCACTACCCTCAGTTAGTTGAAAGATAAATGATGTTTGCTTGAAGAAGCATTAAACGCCAGCCAAGTCATTGCTGGAGCAAAGGGATCTCGCTGATATGCAACGGGAGATGTTTTGCTACAAAAATCTGACGGTTTGTAAGGCAGCCCGAGGACACACCAAGGGTGTACTGGCTTAAAAATCCCACTCTTCAAAAGCAATCTTATCTAACAACTTCATTCATGCCACCTTTCTCAGTTTTGGCTTCCACGTGGTGTAAAGACTGGTTCTTGAGTAGCTGGGTCATTTTCTGAGCTGCTAGGCTGAATCCTATCTGGTGTGCTAGCTCTCCGTGCTCCAGTTAGGATATTGCAGCCATTGACCTGAAAGACATGATACAAAGTCGTGAATTAGGTAAAAGGAACTGTTGCTTCCGATACATGTGTTTGAGAGAGCTTTGCAGGACTCAGCGTGTGCTTCACAAGGGAGGGAACAAGTCCAAATACGAGTGTCCCAGAAGACTCACTTGACACTGTGTGCTGTTTATTTTGCAAAGAAAGTAATTAAGACCACAAGCCACCTTGGGTTTTTATTCTGTGGGGAGTTTTTAATTTTTCCCATTCCTTGCCATGGCCTGGTTCTGCAGCGACCTCTCATGCCAAGCTAAATGGAAAGTCTGAGGTCTTCCCCATTACGACTACAAGTTATTGCTTCAGAGCCCTTCATGCCATATCTCTCCAGAAAAGCTGCTCATGCTGAGGGGTTTGGGTGTCCCTCACCTGCCAATCCGCAGGCATTAGGGGGGGTGCTGGGGGACCCCCTGCACCCCGGCTCCTCTGAGGCAACCCCAGCTCAGGGCATGTAGGGGCCTCTCACATTTCCAGCCCCAGCCAGCATAAACATGGATGGACAGTATGACATCTGAGCTGGAAACCCAGGGAGGAATTATTTTCCAAGATCCTAACAGCAAATGAGATCTTTTCTGGCAGGTCCTCCATGCAGGCGTGCCAGTCACCTGGTCAGCTGTGCAGCCCCATGTCCAAGAGCTGTATTTCTCTTGGCCTCCATGGGAAGTGGAGGGAGACCCTGCTTGCAGAGGTGGCGAGGGGGGAGCTGCTTGGAGAGCAGCCAGCCAGAGGCCTCCATGTCCCTTTTTGGACAGGGCCTGATCTTAAATACTTGGCAGAGAGGCTAGGAAGTCCCATGAAGCTTGCAGGATGGGGGAGGAGGTTGAGCAGAAGTTT